GCATCTGAAAAAGCAGAGACATCACCTTGCCAACAAAGGACTGCATAGTCAAAGCTATGGTTTTTCCAGTAGCAAAGTTCACTCTCTGGAGCTGGGCCGTAAAGAAGGCTGACCGCCGAAGAATTGATGCTTTTGAATTGTGGTGCTGGAGGAGACGCTTGAGAGTCCCCTGGACTGCAAGGAGAACAAACCTATCCATTCTAAAGGAAATCAACCCTGAGTGCTCACTGGAAGGACAGATCCTGAAGCCGAGGCTCCAATCCTTTGGCCATCTCATGAAAAGAGAAGACTCTCTAGAAAAGACCCTGATGTTAGGAAAGTGTGAAGGCAAGAGGAGAAGGGGATGACAGAGGACGAGATAGATGGACAGGGTCATTAAAGCAACCAGCATGATTTTGACCAAACTCCGGGAGGCAGTGGAAGACAGGAGGGCCTGGCGTGTGCTCTGGTCCATGGGGTCCCGAAGAGTTGGACACGACTTAAGGACTAAACCACAACAAAGAGGTGGCCAGAGGTGTAAATGACTCCACCCACTCCAGGGTTTTAGGAGGCAATGCAAGACCCAGTTGTTTCCTCAAGCCTTCCAATAGTTTGCTCCTAATAAATAAATAAATATGTAAGTAACTTCTACTGAGCCGCTTGGAAGACCTTTGGCAAAGCGCAAGGACTCCTCTGGCCACTTCCCAGCCAACGTCTCAGAAGCAGCTCCCGTGGTGTTCGCTGCTTTTTGGAAGGCCTCCTCTCTAGAGGCTAAAGGGTGGGGTGGGGGGGTGAGAGCACAACTTACAGGAAGCACCGCAACCACTTCCCTTTTTTGCATGCTAACAGCACATTTCAAATACTCGGAAGGCAGTCCTACAGAGGAGGGGCGGGATCTGCTCTCGATCATCCCAGAATACAAGGCATGTCATCATCGGCCCCAGTGACAGGAAGCCAGATTCAGGCTGAATGTCAGGGAAAAACTTCTGAACTGCTGGAGCAGTACGACAATGACTTCTGAACTGTTGGAGCAGTATGACAATGGGACCCATGACCTCAGGGGGAGGTGAGTGCTCCAAAACTGGAAGGCCTTTAATAGACCACCCTCCTTCTGATCTGCTTTGGTTTGGATTCCTGCCCTTTAATAGACCACCCTCCGTCTGATCTGCTTTGGTTTGGATTCCTGCCTTGAGCAGGGGGTTGGACCCGATGGCCTTAAGAGGCCCCCTTCCGACTCCATGATTCTCATAGGAAGCAGAGCCGGAGAGATCCCTGGTCCAGGTGAATAAAAGGAAGTGGCCTGCAGATGTGCGTTTTGGGTTGGGGGGGGAGGTACTCCCAGAATTCTGCCAGGGGAATTCTTGGGAGTATTCTAGGAGTTGGAGCCTAAAAGTAAATTAAGAGTGAACAGCCCATCCCTCCAAAAATCATCCTTCAGACAACCATCTTGTCTGCATAGCCTCCTGCAATCAGCTTATCACTTCTTAGTAATTTCTCTCTCCGACCCTCTCTCTCTCTCTCTCTGCCTTCACTTCTTAGTAATTTCTCTCCCCTACCCCCTCTCTCTCTCTCTCTCTCTCTGCCAAGATCAGCAGCTGGAAGAGGCACATCTAAACACCTACACAACATGCTGCTGTACTGCTATTTAAAGCATCTGGTTAGGAGACGCTCAACGCTGACAGCCTATGAGTCCGGCTCTAGCGCTTCATGTTGTAGCTTGTGCCCTTTGAGACACCCCACCACCACCAAGCTGCAGCATCTAAAATTGGGAAGGACAGATCTGTTGATCATCCTTCCTACTTTCCAGCTAAGTCATGAAGCAAAACAAGGAGATTTAGAATCCCTCACTCTAGATTTTTTTTAAAAAAAATTTCCAACCTGGATGGAGACAATCCGTTATTTCACAGGCCGAACAACATGAATCTACATGGAGAACAAGCTGCTGGCCAGTTAGGATTGGACTCAGAAAACGTACCTGTGCCCCATATAGCAACTAAGTGGTTCAACGCAAGTTGTAACTGCTCCGATGATAAAAGAGGCCTTCACGTCCGCATCGGGGTGAGTCTGAAGAGCCTGCACAACGTCAATGACATCCGTGTATCTGCGGGGAACACAAAGCAAAGCGTTGCAAAATGACACGGCAACGCAAAAGCATGCTCTTGCTAACAAATGAGAGAGGGCAGGCTTGCAGGTGGCCGCGGTACAATTCTGAAAAAGGACTCGTCCAGTTCCTGAAGCAGAGAAATCGGGCGCGGTTTGTGGCTCCCTAGATCCAGCTGAGAAACATTTGCTAAAAACTGTGAACCGTGATTTCAAGGGACCAAAGCAAGGAAACCCTAGATACCCCCCAGAGCATTCCGTTGGCACAGGCTGAGATGGGGCCTGGCCTTCTTCTGGTACGGAAGCAAACACTGTATAACCTGCCCCTGAGCAGCTACAGGGCTGCCCTGCCTGGAGAACGGCTTCAAGACAGGAGGCTGGAGCAGCCCAGGGAGAGCTTCTATAACCTACAGTCTTCAGAACAGCTCAGAGGTTTAGGGGGTCTCTGGCTCGGGAGCCAGAGGTTGGGAGTTCGATTCCCGGGTTTAGGGGGTTGAGAGCCAGAGGTTGGGAGTTCGATTCCCCCCCTCCCCCTAGTGTGCCTCTCTGAAAGGGGCTTGGCTCGACGATCCAGAAGGGCAATTGAATTGCAGAACCACTTAAGGCTGTTCCAGCAGGTGGTTCAGGAAAGGCTGAACCTGATAGCAAGACTTGGTGGGGCGGGGGGAGTAGTGGGAGAAAGAACAAAGCGACCCGCATGCCCCTCTCCTATGGCTGGAATGTGGGATCACCCAATAAAGTGGCGAGGCAGCATGTTTACGACTGAAACAAGGCTTCAGTTCGGCAGACAAACCATATTTAACGTCTGGAATTCATTCCACATGAAGATGGGCAGATGTTTTCAGCTGTCCAAACTAGGGGCCAATAACAACCACTGGATAAATTCAAATTCCAAGAGGAAAGAGCTACCAATACTTTTTATTTTTTGTTGCAAGAGAACAGCAGAATCTTTGTGCGTTCAGAAGCCAAAACAACAACAACCCACATTTGAATGCCTGCCCACACAGCAGGGGAAGGAAGGGGCCTCAAAGGTCAGCTTGCAGAACTTCCCGGGGGTGCCTGTCTTGCTGAAGGCTTGCAAGAGGTTCCTCGACTAGAGCAATCCTTGGCCTCAAAACAGCAGGGCTCCTGAGATGACCTCAAGGCATTCTCTGCCACAGATGCCAAGCAGGGAGAGCTGGTGAGTGGAGGCGAAGGAGCACGGAGAGGAGGAGAACACGAGGGGTTTTTTTGAAAGACAAGCCCGCCCTTTGGGAGACGAGCACAGCTATTAGGTGCGGGTGACCTCCCCCCCCGGAGGACAGCGCAGCCATGAAAGCGGGTGAGGGAGGACTAAGGAGAAGAGGTCCTTGATGGAGGCCATGACTCCACAAGGTTCTCATCCACTGACCAAGCTACATCCAGACACTGGCATGGCGTCGCAACCAAGAAAAGCAAAAGGCTGTGCGTTGGCCGGGCTTCCCCGTTTTCCGACGTAACTCTTTCATTCACGGAATGTCCCAGGCTGTTGCTGAAAAAGTGAGACTTTTGCGGAGGACCTTTAACATTGCTTGCTTTCTATCTAACAAAACTGGTTCTCAAGAGTGCACAACTGCGAATTTATTCAGCATTTAACTCCAGATAAGGAGCCTAACATAGGCGGTCTGAGCAAACTGCCGGTGATGGATTTCCAGCAAAAGTCCACACACACCCCTAAATCAGCGAGGATTTTCTTACCCTTGCAGAACCAGCAGCAGCCTCATTTTCTTCTTCTTATAAGCTGTTAGCCGGGCAGCGCGGTTATGCTGGGATTCAAGCACACTCGACAGGTACTTCTGGAAGTGACCCGCGCTGAAACATTCAGGGCTGTCCATGGTTTGGCGATAAACCAGCCACCTAGAACATTAACAGGAACAGAATAAAGTTAGATCACCGATTGCTTTCTTTGCCAAAACACCAGTTCTTTAAAAAGCCAGAACGGCACTTTGTCCGCCTCAGGTTTGTTTGGTCTGTCTCTCTTTCAGCCCTTTTGGTCATCTGCGGCGCCTTGAAGGAGGGACGTGGTGGCGCTGCGGGTTAAACCGCAGAAGCCTCTGTGTGCTGCAAGGTCAGAAGACCCGCTGCTGTAAGATCAGATCCATGCGATGGAGTGAGCTCCCATCACTTATCCCAGCTCCTGCCAACCTAGCGGTTCGAAAGCATGTAAAAATGCGAGTAGATAAATGGGTATCACCACAGTGGGAAGGTAACAGTGTTCCAGGTCTATGTCGTGCTGACCACGTGGCCATGGAAACTGTTTATGGACAAAATGCTGGCTCTACAGCTTGGAAACGGAGATGAGCACCGCGCCCTAGAATTGGACACGACTGGACTAAATGTCAAGGGGAACCTTTACCTTTACCTAGGGCCGTGAAGAGCCCAGAAAACTGGCTTCCAGACCTGCCAGATTGTTATCGTCCTGTTTGATACGGTTTCCAGCGCTCCCAACCTCCAGCTCCATCCACTGAAACCAGGAATATGAAAACCGATCCTGCTTTGGGAGCGGCCCTTGGCGACTTCAATGCTGAAATAATTCACCCCTGTTCAAATGGATGAAGCCAGGTGGCAAACCAGCAGGACTGCCTTGAGAACCGGCCCTCAGGCTGAGGCCTGCTGGGGTCCCTGACAGATCTGAAGGCTCCCAGGGCTACCTGTCCAAAAGGACTGGACACCCATTGCACCCCTCATTCTTCTCTGGCAAAGGCAAAGGAAGGCAGAAGCATCAGAGAGCAAACACAGGGAGGTGACAAACGGGAGCTGTCCTTTATGTCCTATTTCCCCGCTAATGAATTTCTATATCTGAAGCAAAGCAAAAAGTGAAGGATAAAAAGCGTGTTGACAAATACACACTCGACCGCTAAAATATTAGGCCTGGCCAAAGCTCAGTTCAGAGAGTCGTTGCTAAAATACAATGCAATGCAATTTTTTTTAAAAAAAAACCTCTACTAACCTTCCATATTCTTTGTTGAAAGTGACTAGGAAAGAGGATAGCTCAGTTGAGTGACATCCTGGAAGACCCGTTAAGATAGTGATTACCACCTGAAAAGAAGGAGGAGGAGTCAGATTACCTTCAGACTCCTACTATGGCCCAGACCATAATATAGAGACAACAGCACAGAGTCTCTAGTGCCTGGCAACCGACAGATGCCTTAGAGCAGAGGTCATCAACCCCCAATCCGTGGCCCAGTGCCAGTCCATGGCCTGAGCTGGACCGGGCCGCAGAGACAGACCTCTCGCCCCCTCCTGCATGCACTCCTCACCCCACAGCTGCTTTGCGCATGCACGCACCAGCCAGAATGCTCCCCCACCCCTTCACACATGCACCCAAGCACCTGCGTGAAGGGGTGGGGGAGCGTGCGTGCTCCACCGCTTCACGCATGCATCCGAGAGTACGAGTGGGGTGCGTGTGTCTTCCTCAGAGGCTCAGCTGGTCCCAAAAAGGTTGGGGACCGCTGCCTTAGAGCAAAGACATTTCCCAGCAACATGAGGCTCTAGTAAACGGTGGGTGTCACATATTTGTTTTTCCGCTGAATTTTCTATCTCTGCATTTTCCTAGACCTCACAGTAAATTGCTGGCAATTCAACTACCTTAAAACCGTCTTCCCATTTAAAAACAAAGTGGCTGAGAAGAAGTTAAGATGAATCCTTAAAGGGTCTCTATAATCTCTTATGACTAATTGCTTGTAACACCCAGCTTGGACAGTCCTGTATGGCCTTTGGGCTTCCTGGATCAAGAAGGCCCAAATACATCTGTATCCAGAAACCCCCTTGAGTAGAGAGAACGGGTGGCTTCGTGCAGACAACACGCCCTCTCTCAGGAAGGACAGCCGTCCCTCCTGATCTCTGCCCAATACACAGGATGTCTTCTTAAAAGGTACGACAACAGTGTTCCTGGTCCAGCAGAGTATGGAGATGTGGGATACCCGGCTGTGAAACTGAAGACTTCTAACTCGCTTCACCACAGTCGCTTTAGTGTCCACAGTTTTCCAGTTGTATTATTATTATTTTTTAAGATTGTGCCTAGATGTCTCTCAGCAAGAAGGACAATCAAGGAAAAACACGGCAGGTTCTTTACCAGCTCCACACCTTTACAGAGCAGGGTCTTAGCCTCACTCTTGGTCTGCACGCAAACCTGAGATGACACTGGCCTTGTTCCTGACCGACCAGGTTTCCAAGGAACATCCTCTACTAACGTTTGAATGGATGAACAAACAAAGAACTCTTGGGAAATCACGACACAAGGGGCTCAATCTTAAATTAATCCCTACTACAGCAGACCCACTGAATCAACAAAAGTCATGTTATTCTTAACTGATAAGCACCAGTCGTTTTAATTCTGTTTTGTTGGGTCTCACAAATATTCAACCCCATTGTGTCTTTTGCTGACCACATCAAGCCTTTTTACCTTTCCCAGACCTCCTGTTCTCTGACAATCCAGACTCACTGTCAAGAACCCAGAGTGCATTTTCCCAGAATGTACATACTTCTGTTGACAGGGGAAAGTTAGGCCCTATGGTAGACAGCACTCCATCACAGTCCCATTTGAAGAACTTTGGCGGGTGATGTCTTCAAGCGACACACCCCAAAAGACAACACATTAATTTAAAAGCAATTTTAAAAAGAGAGCAAGAGAGACAAACGGAAGCCCACAAAAACCCCTGAAATGGCGTTGCTCCATCTTTGAAATAAAAAAAGAGAGGAAAGGCAGAAACAAGCAAATTAACTTCAAAAGGGCATGTTTCAGAACAGCTGGCTTACTTTATCATTCTCAGCCACATTCTCAGGAATGACTTTGGACTGCTGCAATAATACGGGGAGATGAGCTCTCGGCACCGGCTCATGGCTTACGCTGCTCATGGTGAAGTGTTGCAGGAATCTGTACAGGAATAAGACAAGGCAGAGCTGTTTACTGCTTCATAGGGCAATTCCTTCTCCGAGACCTAGTGGGTGCATGGGTGTCTGGATGCCTGCGTGACAGCCGTTAGTACAGAATCTAGCTGCCCGGTTAGACATGCTGAGAATTTCCAGTAATGATAGGTTCAATAACCCCCTGTTTTTCATTAGAAAAACCATATACACCCACCTCATCCTTCCCTTTGAGCTCAGAATCACAAAAGTTGTCTCACAGGCAAACTACCTGCTACAGAGAGCGTGGGTTTGGAATTCGTTAGGTGCTTCAAAGAGTCTGAAATAGCACATGCTGTCTCACCTCCCTTTCCAGCCCATCAACCTGCTTTATCCAGTGACTGGTCTCGGGGGGGGGGGCTGGGGGCTACCGTCAGCTGCAATTGCAAGCCCCAATGCTCAAGGATGAGGCTCTAGTGACATCATCATTAGCTGATAATGGCACCCCATTTGTAGCACCTCATGTGTCTGTCCACGGGCTATGGAAGACCCTTTTTCTCATGAAGTCTAAACCGGCAAAGCATTTACCAAAACTGAAATATCCAACCAGAACCTCCTTTCGTCCCTCGACCCCAAAGAGGAAGAAATGTTTGTATAGCTAAAGAAGCGAGGAGACTTGTAAGTCCATGGGGTTGTTAGTCCTGGGGGGGCAAAGGCTACCTTTGAAAACCCCACCTGTCCAGATCTGGGAGGCTCGTAGATATTCTTAGGTGGCTCCATTTTTCCCCAGGGGGAGAGGACAAGACATTGAACAGTTTCTGCATCGTGGAATGCCTGGAATAAAGAATGCAAGCAGAAACCATTACTCGAAATTAGGAAAAACAAGATCTGCTTCTCTTCTGTCAATGGGCAAAACTGAAAAAATAAGCATTTCTCAAACTCTGACTGCAAACCATCTTTAAACCAAGCCCGGGTTGCCCAGAGGAATGGGTTTTGAGAAGCAGATCACACGAAGGATGAAAGAAACTCAACCTCTTGGGGGGGGGGGAAATCTCTCTTTTTTCCCTTTTGGAATTCCTACACACAGAATTCCATGGCCAGCACAGAGATTCTGGAAGGCGCAAGGCCACACGGGAACTTGGCCAACGACACCCCTCCGGTGGGGCCTTCCTCCCATTCTTTGAATCTTTCCACGAAGACAGCAAAAAAAAAAAAAAAAAAAATCTCCACGAAGACAGCAAAAGAAAAAGGACAGACAGGATGGTGGTGCTTAATGGGCGTGACCCAACTCAGGTTGTAGTCAGACTTGCCTGGTGGCAGAAGAGTCTTTATTATGAAACCACTAGACATACTAGTTACCTAAACGATCAAATATAATTGATCAGAGGGAGGGAAAAGGAGAAGGAACACTCCCTGACAGGCACATGAGAATGCAAGGGCAATTCTGTGGCATTCAATACTGATTAATTTTGCTTAAGCAAGAAATGCACAAGAAAGGGACTCTCGTATACCAAAGTGAAAAAAGCACACTGTATATATACTGCCCCACTGTGCTTAAAGTACTTTCTGGGAGATTTACAATTTAATTATACAGGCTACCTACCCATTGCCCCCACACAATAAGCTGGGTACTCAATTTATCAGCCTCGGAGGGGTGGAAGGCTGAACCAACCCTGAGCCAGTTACCTGCGACTGAACTTGGGTTGTGAGCAGAGTTTCGCTACATGGGACTGAACTTGGGTTGTGAGCAGAGTTTCGGCCGCAGTACTGCAGTTTAACCACTGCGCCACGAGGCTCCCTTACAAGCCACGTCCTCTAGCCTAACCCTGCTTTGCTGATCATCAACCCTTATGTAGGCAACAAGAGACTTAAGGAACACACACACACACACACACACAGAAACTTGGGAAACTGTTGCGCAAGTGCACCCCACTCGGCCGCATTTTCTCAAAGGTCTTATCTGTTTTGCATAAATTCTAAAATTCTCACAATCTCTCGTGTTCCTTAGGCAGGCCATCTTCTTGGGTCATCTTTAAAGTTATTCCTGAATTCACCCGTTGTTGCCAGACAGAGAAAACCTAACAATGAAAAAAATGAAATCCATATTGCACAATTCAGCACTGCGTGGAGCAACACAAAACCCAATTAAAGATACTATTTTGTTCAGGAAGATGAATCACCACGATGGTTATCCAGAGGTTTCCCGAGGCTTGAGTTATTACAAACTTTGATTTAAAAATCCTCTCTACTGAAGCATTTAAAAAGATTGAACTGTGCTTCCCTGAATAGCCAGGGTTTCATATCATCTTTGATACTCCATACCAATGCTAAGGGAGAGAAACCAGATGCATTTGGACCACCGAGGTATTACAAACTTTAATTAAAAAATCCTCTCTATCTTTTACAATTTAAAAAGATTGAACTGTGCTTCCCTGAATAGCCAGGGTTTCATATCATCTTTGATACTCCATACCAATGCTAAGGGAGAGAAACCAGATGCATTTGGACCACAGAGTGTTCTGTTTAATAGCCAGGAAGACAAAGAATCTCCATTTGAGAATTAATGTACATTACAATTTGGAATGTATTCCTTAACCTGAAATCCACAGCACTTAGATTACTGCTCTTAAGAAAAAGACCTGACTCACACCCATGGATGTGTTCCGGGAATGGTTATTCCAAACCACAGTTACTACCACCATCTGTGGTTGCGTGACTTAAACTGGCAACCTCCTGCAGCAGGAGCCTCACTTCCTCCCCACCTCCTGCATTACAATTTGGAATGTATTCCTTAACCTGAAATCCACAGCACTTAGATTACTGCTCTTAAGAAAAAGACCTGACTCACACCCATGGATGTGTTCCGGGAATGGTTATTCCAAACCACAGTTACTACCACCATCTGTGGTTGCGTGACTTAAACTGGCAACCTCCTGCAGCAGGAGCCTCACTTCCTCCCCACCTCCTGCAGCAGGTTCCCAAGAAAAAGAACTGACTCACACCCATGGATGTGTTCTGGGAGTGGTTATTCCAAGCCACAGTTACTACCACCATCTGTGATTGCATGACTTAAAATGGCAACCTCCTGCAGCTGGAGCCTCACTTCCTCCCCACCTCCTGCAGCAGGTTCCCTAGTTCCTGGCCAACGGAGAGCGAGCGGTCTGGGGAGCCATGTAAAGAGATGGCCTTCTGCCTCTGAGACACACAAAGGCCACACGGCACAGCTGCTCACAGGCAGAAGAAAGGCCCCTTGACCACGAATCACCTGTGAGTAGAAGGCTTTGTAAAGCTTTGACTTCGGGAAAAGGGCGATCATCAGGGAGTTGCTCGGGGTATGGAGCTGGACCGGCAGGTGAGGCCGCAGGGAACTTTTGTAATCTATCAGGAGAGCAGCGACCACACTGGTGGAGTCCTAGAAAGCAGGAGAGGAGAAAAGAAGCCTTTAAGTGAAATTCAGCGAAATTCTGAGAAGCCGACAACATGGCAAGGGTTGCCTTCTCCAGAATTCTCTTAGCTGACCTTTTACCACTGACTGCTACAAACATCTTTTCCCACTATGTTAAACCCAATTATTCTTGAGGGCGGACTAGCACCATTTGTGCAGAAATATACCACCACCCCCTCCACACCTCTGTAACTCCACACCAAAGGGAACAGCCTGATTCAAGATTCATCCAGTGTGTGACACAGGGGGTGCCCATTGAAACAGGTACCCAGAATTCACATTAATTTCAAGCACTTCCCTCCGCCAATCTGGATATCAGGGGAATTTGGGCAGTCGCCCTCCAAAGTATGGGGCAACTGGGGCCCACCTTGGCTTTGGAGGTCAGGTAACATGGGACCCATAGCCACCAAAGTCAGCTCCCGTGAACTATGAACTTCCCCCCTTTCAGTGCAAGATTTTGCCCCCATGCAGTCCTGAGTTGGCTCCATCAATAAGTGGACACATTTCTTCCAGTCCTCAGTGCTCAAGGTACATCTGTCACTCTTTAGAAATTCCACTGACATGATTGCTCAAGAATCGTTAATTGTATATGGGTGATGATAATATAATGTCCCAGTTGGAATGCAATGCTCTTAATCTAATAAGATGGGATTTATGAGCTAAAAACCAGGCTATGTCCAGGCACAACTTTTCCCTGATAATGCAGAGCTTCCTGGGTCTGTTTAAGCCACAGTTTCCCACTATCTCCAAATCAGGAAACGGTGTCTCAATCTCCAGTAACAGAAGAATATCGAACTCGGATCAGAGAGCATGCCGGAGGGGAGGCGGATCACGGGCACTGATCAGAAGTCTTTATCTTAAAAAGCTGGCTGATTTCTGTTGGGAGCTGATGTCCGAAAGAATGTTCCTGAATCAGTTCAGAGCCTCTTTAGAGTGCGATGGACGGGAAACAGATACTCAGGCAACCGACTAAAGGTGGAGGTGACGCCAGTCCGACCAACCTCAAGTGGAACTGGCAGGGATATTGAGATTGCTTGCAAAAGGAATGGTCCTCAATGCCCCAGAACCTGAGGGCCATTCCTGTTGAATTTCGGCACACAAGAGCAGAGGCCAACAAGCTTCAAATGCTCCTGTTTCCACCCATAGCTTGCTTTTCCTGGACGGCTATCAACAGAAACAGTTAATGTCAGAAAATAGGCTGCTTGCTGAGAAAACAGCCCTTTGTGCTTGTTGACGGGGAGATTAAAATGCTTATCTTTTCCGGTATATCTGTATTATTGCTATGTTACTGATGTCCCCAACAATTGCTACCTCTCATCTCATTTATGTTATTTTTAACATAAATGAGACCTCGAGAGGTTGGGTTATTTTCAGCGGCCCAGCCGGCCGCGTGACTTTTGCCAGATCGGGGAAACAATGCAAATTCTCTTTCAAGGTTTTTCTCTCTGCACAGAATAGCTGGCAGCAGTTCAGAAGTGATAGCCCAGGCCCCATAAATAGCTACAGAGGTTGATAGATGTCGGGTGCCTTGAAACCAAACAATAGAAGGAAGGTCAGGGCTGAAGCAGAACTTGCTGGGCTACAAATAAGGCAGCAAAGCACAAGAGGAAAAGAAGCCTTCCAGCTTCAGTCCTTACACAAATTTAATTGAAGCACCCCTTCTATCATGCCCTGTAATCTGAGGCTACAGCCATTGGCACCCACAATGATAAAACTAAAGATTCAAGGCAGAAACGGTCAAGAGCTGGTCTCTACCACCAACCGCCCTGGGCACGTCAGACAGCTCCCAATGTGGAAGCCCCAAATGTTTTTAAAAAAGAATCCAAGACAACACGAACAATCATCCGCCTCCTGCTGCTGCACCCCCAGCCTAGAACTAGGGTCAGCGACGGTGGCCCTCCAGATGTTTTTGGACTGCAGCGATCATAATCTCCCACCATCACAATTGATGGGAATCGTGGGTCATCAGACATCTAGAGGGGGCCACGGTTGCCCACGCTTGTTCTGGGACACGAATTCTCCCTGCATACCTTAATCTTAAGGTTCCGTGCTTCTCGGGCAGCCGCGTAATCACGGCACAGATTAGTCTAGGTTTGCTGCAGAGGTAACCCCTGAAACTAAAGGTTCCGGATGTGGACCAAAAAAAAACAAGGGCCCTGGCTCAGAGTTCATCATCAGGGAGGTAAGGTGGGTTGCGAGAAGCAGCGTTTCCGTGCAAGACCCCTGGCTGACGGGGCGAAGAAATGTTACTGACAGGGCTTATGCGGGACGGCAGTGCTGTCTGATCTTGTACCCAGGACAAGATCCTATACAGCAAGAAAAGCAAATAAAAAAAACACAGTGTTCGCAATCACTCTGAGTATGCGGAACACCCTTACTGGATACAGGGCTCCGGGGAACACAACACTCTCCTGCCTGACACTGCAAGGGAAGCCGCTGAAAGTTTCTCGGCTTTCCTGGATCCGTTCTGAGAAGAACGACGGATGGGATGGATGAACACTTACTCCGTCAAAGAATCGGATGGACGTCATGTGGGACTTAGAGATCGTAATGCTTCCGTAGTGGGGGTGGATGAACAGGAGTCCTTCGGAGAAGAAATAGAGTTTACCTAGAAAACGAAAGGAAACGGAGGCCTCAGATGTTACAACCTGTGTTAAAAGCTTCCTTTGCAGAAGTAACCCAACATTAAACCCTTTGTTTAACCGTGTTGTAATGCAGCCAGCTTCTCCCACCCCATTTTGGAAATCTATTCTCAGAAGATTGCTGTCAGATGGTCCTTCAACCATTGTCTGGAAATCTCAAACAAAGGAGAAGCCATCCCTTCCTAAGGCAGACTATGCTTAGCACCAGAAACTTATTCTTAGCGCTTGGGCTTTTTTAATCCCCCCTTGTCATCTGGACCTATCAATCCAGGTCCTATCTTCTAAAGCACGGGGGGGGGGAGATCATTCTGCTTCCCAGGTGAGATCCCTTCAAATATTCAGCCTATGTTTGCCTATCCCTCCAACGTGCTTTTGAGCATAGGAGGCCTCACTCTTCAAACCCTACCCACTGTGTTCTGTTCAATAACAAATTACTCTGATAACTAAAATTATAGACTGTTAAAAACAAAGCATGTGCCTTGCAAGGAGGAATCAGAATGGAGAAAATGTTTAATATATCAACAACAACAACAATAATAATAATGAGCATGTGTCCCTCCGAAGGCATCTCCTTTCAACATCCTGCAGGTACACGACAGAACCGGTTGCTCACCTTCCTCGGGTCTGGAGAGTGAATTGCTAGAAGAAATATAGGCCCCCTCACCTCCGGTCAAAGGAGTACCCAGGAAAGATTCTTCTTGCTAAATCAGGGAAGTTTTGTAAGGTCAACAAACGGCAACAGGATCAGGACCAGGTCTATTTAAAGGCCCTTCCCCCTGCTGGCTAAGCTGGTTTTCAGCTGCCTCCTGGAACTCAGGGACTTGCCTTATGCCCAATCAGAAAATGTGCCCACTGGTTCTCGTAGCAAATATATGTGACCTGTCAAGTCTCTCCAGGATCTTTCCCTTTGCCTGCCTTGTGGCTTTTTTTAAAAAAACAGTTGTGTTAGGACTAAGGTAGCTCCTTCTGCACGCATGGCACATGCATCCTCAACAGAGCAGCATCCCCGTCTTCGTCAGCCAGGCCTTTAGACAGAATAAATGCCCATTGACCAACACGGGATCTATTATGGTGACCCCCCTCCTGTGTGTGTGCGGGGTTTCTGGCCGAGACTGGAAGCAAAGGGTGGCCCTGATCCAGGGCTATGCGGCTGCGCAACTTAGAGGGACCGTTGATGGCAACTGTACGCACACAGCTGTGTAACAGGAGCTGCAGGCCAACATATATCAGCCAGGCCTTTGGGCAGAATAAATGCCCATTGACCCACATGGGATCTATCATGGTGACCCCCCTCCTGCGTGTGTGTGCGGGGTTTCCGGCCGAGACCGGAAGCAAAGGGCGGCCCTGATCCAGGGCTATGAGGCTGCGCAACTTAGAGGGACCTTTGATGGCAACTGTACGCACACAACTGTGTAACAGGAGCTGCAGGCCAACATATCCAGAGACGGTCAGATTGAGACAAGGCTGTCTTATTCTAAGAGACAACTCTTTCCACCTCACTGTGTTGCTGTTACGGGCCATCAAGTCAGAACTGACTTTAGACAACACTTTCCACCTCACTGTGTTGCTGTTATGGGCCATCAAGTCAGAACCGACTTAACAGGCAATCTGAATAGGGTTTTCAAGGTAACTGCAATATTACGGGAGTGGCAGGCAATCCGAATAGGGCTTTCAAGGTAACTGCAATATTACGGGAGTGGTTTTACCAGTTCTACAGGCACAGTTAGTTTCCGTGGCTGTCACCCTGTCCACTATACTGCAGTAGGAATCCTCTAACTCACTAGAAGCATACATATTTCTCATTATGAACGTTTGAACCAGGCTCCCCAGTTCTAGTCTGTCACCCCATCCATTATACTGCTCTAGGAATCCTCTAACTCACCAGAAGCATACATATTTCTCATTATGAACGCACACTCTATTTTTCTCTGAATAGCTAAGTTTGCAAAAACTTATCGGAGAGAAAAAAAAGCTACAGTCGTGGCTTCTGAGTTATCCCTGACACCATCACAATATCCACTATCTGTGGGAACAGCAGCTGATGCTGTCTGGCCTTGCAGCGTTAGACCTATTAATCCAAACTCAGGCACAACGTCAAGCTTAATTAAGAGACTGAATTTCATTACAAACCTTCAGGATTTGCTGAGCCTTCTCAGACAGTTTCACTTCGTAATCTTCAACCTACAAACGAAGCCCACAATTGCTTTAGTTTTGTTTCTCCGCTACTGCGGTAAAAGGATAGCATGTCATTGTCACAGCACTCTGTAACTGAGCCTGCTTGCGGTCTAAAGGTGCATGTTTTTCCCCTCATGCCTCACGTGTTTATCACAGCAACCACCCGTGGAGCCGTCAAAAAATGTAAAGTGGCTCCGAACATCCAACTAGACAATACAGTTAGAAAACCAACAGAAACTGGGTTCCTTAACAGAGAGAAAAGGATGCCACAGTATCTGCTCCATAGATCTTGCATCACGGCGAGTTTTGTTTTGTGACTGGTCACTAGAAGGGTAAACATGAGCTTAATTTGCAAGTCTAACTGCCTATGTTTGTAACTCTGAGGACATCACACTGTGGGAGGGGGAAAAAAGGTTATCCACTTCTAAACGGGATCTGAGCGTTTTGTCTAATTTGACCTGAAACACAGAATTCTCTTGATCATTTCTTCTGGAGTAGCAGCTAGGGGACTGAATTATGAGCCACAGGATCCCTACAATCATCTTCACTTCTGAACAAACAGAAGCGACTCTGTATTCTTGTTGTGGGTTTTTCGGGCTCTTTGGCCGGGTTCTGAAGGTTGTTCTTCCTGATGTTTCACCAGTCTCTGTGGGTGGCATCTTCAGAGGAGTGGAGTAGGAACTCTGTCCATGCTCTGTACAGACAGAATTCCTACTGTATGGAGCACGGACAGAGTTCCTACTCCAGTCCTCTGAAGAGGCTGGCCACAAAGACGGGCGAAACGTCAGGAAGAACAACCTTCAGAGCACGGCCAAAGAGCCCGAAAAACCCACCACAACCAGAAGCGACTCTCTTTGCATTCCACACCTGCAGGGCAGGATGGCTCACCTTAACTCTTCTTATACTTTAAGGTTGGTATGAAAATGGGCAGGCGGTATACTGAGAACTCAAGGCTGCAAAATATTAGTAAAATCATTAAATTCCCAAGTATTCGCTTTTTTCAAAATTCTACCACAGATGGTAACTCTGGAATGTCACGTGTAAGGGGGAAAAAATTCAGAATTCTCTTCCCACCATATAAAACAGTTAATACTGCTATTTTAAGGAATTTGGGACTTTTACAGTGGGGCGTTATAATGGCAGAAGTGTTTCTATACTACTACTCAAAGCATTGCATGAGTGAGATCTGAAGGGGAGTGAGCATTTTGTGACAAAAGCTGGTTTCTGGAAATAATATAAAATACATTAATTTAAGATGCCATTTCTAATTTCACCTGCCGGTAGCGGGAGGCCATATTACCGTCTTAGACCTGCCATGATTTGACTTCCTGTTGGCTAAACTCTCACACATCTTGGCTTAATGTAGGTTAACAAGAAAAGTTCACGTGGCTTTTCTTATCCTTGTTGGATATCTTTTCCCTGGCACTGTTATCAGAGGAACTGCCTCCAGTTCATAATCCTGAGTTTCCTTTGTTTCAACTAAATGCCGAGCTGCCTCATTAGGAAGGTTCTTTGATTCTGGCAGTGACTGACAGGAATAGTTCTGAAACAAAGCTTCTGAGTTCCTTTAAAAAACATTTTCAAAAAACAACTAAAAACATTGATGTTTCGGCAGGCCTTCCCCTTTGTCAGTTCCTGACCCCCCCCCTCCTTCCACTCCCTAGTTCTGTCCCATCTTGCTGTAAGCTTTCCTATTTAAAATTGCTTTTAATTATATCGTTGTTCGTTTGTGCTGTTGTAAGCCGCCTAGAGTAATCTTAATTGATTAGATAGGCGGGATATAAAATAGATAGATAGATAGATAGATAGATAGATAGATAGATAGATAGATAGATAGATAGATAGATAGATAGATAGATAGATAGATAGATAGATAGATAAAAGAAAACAAAAAAGAGGGGACAAGGCAACCCAGAGGTGGTTTCGCGAAGAAATCGAACGATCCTTACCAGCCACGAAACGGATCTCGGGATCGCCGCAGTGAGAATGATGTAACTGGTGTCGGTGTTAATGCTCTCGTCTGCAGTCAAGTGAGAGAAATGAGGCATGATATGATTCCTGACCACCACCACCCCAGATGCCTCTTTCAAGGCAACACCATAATGATAAATCACAAAGACACTCCGTTGAACATTCCTCTATCTCGAACATGGGTTTCTCTCTAAGCGGGGTTTCCTTCCTTCCTATAAATTCACAAAACCGACCCCGAGTCCGATAGAAGGAAGGCTGTCCCCTGAGTAGGATACACATTAGCCTCTTAAGGAGATATCGCATGTAATTATAACAATAATCTTGAAACTGCAGAGCTGGAAAGGACCCCATGGAGCACCGAGTCCAGCCCCTGTGGGGAATCAAACTCCCAACCTCTGGCTCCACAGCCAGGTGCCGACACCACTGAGCTATCCAGCAGTTCAACTCCTTTCCGTTCCCAATGGCTCCCTGCTCCTCCGCGGGCTGCTTCTAGGAGGACCGCAGAGGCAATGGATAGATAGGTCTGCCCTCCATAGGCAAAAGGGGCGGATGGAAAACCAAACCGCAACCGTGGCTGTGACCTCCCATGGCTTTTCATGAGACATGGAATGGGCTCAGGGGCTCGGGCAGCCTGGGAAACCGTTCCTGTCCGGATGGACTACAAGCCCCAAAACTGGATTGAGGAGACACTCGGCAATTTTGCAAGGAGAAAAGAGGGCCGAAAAGGCATCACCCTCTCTTCGTATGAGCAGCTGGGCCAGAAGACACGGAATGCCAGCCTTGGGCTTTTTAACCTGAGAGACTCCGTTCGCTCAGGGGAGCACCACAGAATGGTTAGCTGGCCATTTACCGATTTGGGGCCCAGCATATTATGCAAAAGTCGCCTTTTTAAAGGAGATACTCAAACCTCAGCAGCCAAAGAGACCACCAAAGGGGGGGGGGAGACTCTGAACATCCAGGCTCGCTTTATACAGAGCTCAGGGGAAGGATTCCCAAAATGGTATACTGTATATAGCCGAGGCCCCAGGGTCAAGAGGGGCCCCACACAGTCTAATTCGGCTTCCAAAAGCCTGTGCAAGCAAGAAAGAGAAACCAGCGTCTCTCCTGTGAAATAACATGGGTGTAACCTTCACCCCCTGGTTCAATTTTATTCCTTTCCCTCATTTGGTCAACTCACATGGTGAGCCACCGCAGAGGAGAAACCTCTGCTCTAATGCTTCTTTCTTCAAACTGCTCACATGTCCGAGGCAAGTTACAGCAGTAGCTGAACAGATCATCCATCCTCAAATTATTGGATAATAGCAGAATGTGATACAGTAAATTTTCCTGGCAAACAAGAGGAGACAGACATATGCCAGAGGGTTCCCCCCCCCCCGATTTTATTTATTTATTGGTTATATTCACATAGCCCAATGTTTTTCCTCCAGGGATTTCAGAGTTCAAAGTAAATGGTGTTCCTCCTCCTCATTTTCCCCCCACCTGACAGCCCTGCAAGATTGGCCAGGATGAGACCCGAGTGACTGAACTAAGGTCACTCACTACATTTCAAGGCTAAGGGGGGAAGACAACCCAGATCTCCTACGTCCAGATTTCTCACTGCCACGCAACCATATCGCCCTAAACCTCTGTTTAGTGTTAGATGGAATCAAGGCATTGCAAATACCCAAAAAACCCCATGAAATTTGTCGCTCTGCAGATCTGAACCATTCAAGTACCTCTTTCCTTCACGAGGATCTGTGACGCCAGGAAGGATTCTGAGAAGACCACCGAGCCCAAGCAGCCCCTTCCACCCAGCAAATCTGGGATGTCGTATACAGTCATGGAGGCCTGCAGAGCAACCAAAGGAAAGCCAGTGGCAAATTTCTGTCATTGAAACTCAGAATCTCCCACTGTAGGAGAACAGAGCTCCCGTAATTCTAGTGGCTGAATGGATTTGGTTTCAGAGGGGATAAAACCACAGTGATTGTGAACGTGCGTTATTGTGTTGCAGGCCAGAGACCATGTTACTTCCACCAAAATATACGTGCAAAACCAACTGCTCCAAATCTAGAATTGGGGGGTTCTGGGAATGGCTATCCCCTACCCCATTTTTTTCTCAAGCACTGCCCAAATTGTAAGACAGAAACAGGGTGTCTTAAGGATGCAGGTTGCCGCTGACAACGATGGCTCTACTGCATCACAACACTCTTCTGTCCGGCCACTGCCTTCTACAGTGATGGGTGGTGTCAGTTCCGCATCTCAAGCTGACTCTTGTTCTCATAACCAAGTCTTTTGAAAAAGAAAATGGCCACTGATGGTCCTGGAAAAGCCCAGGGAGGATTCCCTGTGAAGACCACTAAGTTACAGCCTTTCCTTTTTAAAGAAAAGTGACTGCTTGATCCTCCATGGGCAGCACAGCCAGGAACAGAAAAGGCGGCCAAAAAGCAAAGTAACTTTGCCTGGGGATTTGGGTAAGGACGCAAATCTGGCAGGAATCACCAGAAGATTTCCATCTGCATCTGCCTCAAAACGATGGAACCTCTTTTTCACAACACTTTTTCCCCTTTCAAACTTTGGAGAACTTTCTTAACCTTTACAAATGGGGCAGTGATTCCCAAAGCATTCCAGCTGAACTTTGAAATCTCCATTTGCTAACTCAAGGGGCATGACTTTTTTAAAAAAAATAAATTTCACTTACTGTTTTCACCAAGTACAAGCTATCCTCATTATCCAGGGGAGTGATTCTGGAGGAAAATTAACATATTTTTAGATGTTTCCTTTAGTGCTTGGTGCCCTCCAGCCCATTACACATCAGATATTCAAAGTCACTGAGGAAAACGAGAAGGGAACGCCCATGGTGGATGCTATTGCTGAGAAGCCATGCAGAATCTGAGCATTTTAGACTGTCCATTTTTCATACATGACACTTTTCACCAGAAAAGCATCTAGAGAAACTCTGGTAGCCCCTTACGTAATCGAGAACAGATGGCATAAAAGCACCCTTAAAAACTTGTGTTAATTTCTTTTTAATGGCCTCACAAGGAGTCTCTGCCTGTCTCAAACCTGGTTTGTCTTCTAGATGTTTACAAAAACCTCTGGAATCTATTAGTATCACAATGCTGCTGCTAGAAAAAAACATATTTTATTTGATTACTGTCAGCTTTGCTTATGCCATTTTGTACTCCGATTCGGCAAGTGTTTAAAACTGCCTAAGGGTTGAATTTTAAACTGCTTAAGCACTACAGTATTTCTAACCAGCACGGGTGGTCCTTTTGAACTGAACGGCTTGGTGATCAATGATCCAAGCGGATATGGTTTAGGTTATCATATTTTGTCTTCCTAAGCCAAGATACAAGCAAGTCTTTTATGGCTGCAGGAGACATTTCTGCTCTTCCCTTTACACTGGCAGCGAAGCCTGAAATTAACTACGTTTCTTGCTTCATTTTAAACAGGGAGCTGTGATTAACAACTTCTAAACAAGCCGTGGTATTAAACAAGTGTAAATGATTATGAAACCGGTACCTACAGCTTCCTAACTCAAATAAAGTGGAAAATGCTTAACTGGAAGCTCCTTTTTAAAGTCATGGTTTAGTATGAAGAGAGGAACCAAGGAACTGTATGCATGGGGAAGAGATTTTGTGCATATTTTGGCTCTGTAAGAGAAGAGATGGCTGTCAGAACACGGCTGGCTGTTCATGTACCACCATGACACATTTCAAGTTGTTTGGAAATGGAAGACAACATATTTAAATCGTTGTAACACTGCTATTATCTCTTTTTGAGTCTTCTGACTGAAGACTCAAAAATCACCAAGCACACACGTTTCTGCAGGCAGTAATCTCATACCGCAACCTCACATTGTTGCAATGATTTTGACCTCTCCAAAATTATCCTGCTGAAGCTTAAAAGACTAATGGCGAGAATATAATAAACATAAAATATCAGTACCTTTTTTTAAAAAGCCAAAGAAAAGAAGACTACAGACAAAAAACGGCTGCTTTGAAAAGATGAACTACCAATGAGAAAAGCAAAGAAAATTACAGTCTTCAGAGAAGAAAGAGACGACTGACCTTCCGTGGCTGTTCACAGCTTGGATTTGAAAATCTGTTCTGGACCTATAGGGAAGAAATAAGGGAAAGACTTCCATTTTAAAAAAATGGCACCGTTTATAGGCCCATTTGAGACACAAAGGAATATAAAGCTACACTAGGGTGTTCTGCACAAGGGCAGTAAAGCGACTGGAGTGGGGTGTGATGGTGTGTGTGTGTGTGTTTGTGTACATGTTTGTGTGCATGTTTGTATGTGCATAAGGGTGCTTTAGTCTTTCCATACTGGTGTCTACTGTAACACTCCATTCCAAAGCCAAACTTTCCTCCACAAATATTCAGGATAAATATTTAAGGAGCAGTGGTTCAACTGTATTGCTGCAGAGAAAACTCTGCTCACAACCGGGGGTCAATCCCAGATAGCAGGCTCCAGGTTGACTCAGCCTTCCATCTTTCTGAGGTTGGTAAACTGAGTACCTAGCTTTCTGGGCCGGGGAAGGGGGAGGCAATGTGTAGCCTGCTTAATTAAAATATAAATCGCCCAGAGAGTGTTTTAAATGCTATGGGGGGGGTTATAAAAGCAACATGCTTTACTTTTTTAAAACTTTTATTCTTGCACACATGCACACACAAAAGCACAGTCCAACACCTGATAAGGGACAGGTTGTGTGCCATGAAGGAATTAAAATAAACAAGCAGGGGCAAGTAAGAACCTAATCAACCCTTTCTCCCTCCCAGAAAATTTCACAGGCCTCTGAAGCTACCTGACCTTAAAAGACGGCTTCCATTTAATCTGCAGATTTCCCCCTAACTAGCCAGTGTTACTGGGCTTGTATACAGTACTCCTCTTTCAGAGAGATGCTAAAATGTTTTAAGATACCCTTCAGAATTCAAGACTTCTGTTGCTCAGATTTGTAGCACTGCTGAAGTTTATGATTATGTTCTGGTGAATAAAACAACCCAAGAGAAACATAAAGAGATATTTAATACATTACATTGAAATAAACTACCACTTTGATCTTAGCTAAATTTCATAGCCACTACTCTGGAATATTGATCGGTTGCAACAAACAACCACACATATGTTTAGCAACCCTACTGATAATGGGGTATTTCTAAAGGAGCTTATGAATGGCCAAGACCACACAGGCTCCTGCTTAAATAAGCAAGTAAGGATCTGGTAGGTGACCTCCGTACTTGGAGAGAAGAAATTGATTTTGAAAAGGCTTTGGAAACCTGTCAAGAGTCTCTGCTGCATGAAAAAACACAAGAACAGGCCAAAGTGCAGGTTGGAGATAACGAAAGGCGGGGAAAAGAAAAAGGAGACTCAAGTCTTCAAAATGTCACAGCGGCCAAGAGGAAACGTAGAAACACACCTCACGGTTAATTCACCAGTCTGCATTTTAATTTATTTTGATGGCTGTGAAGTTACTAAGGCGAACTCTTTTAAAGAGTTTCCTTTTCACTCACCTACAGATTTAGACCACGGAAACGCTAGGCGGTTAGACACAACCACTAGAAAACCTGCAGTTTGTAACCGCATGAGAAGTTTTGTACATTCCTCATCGTGCTAAATGAAGCATCGTACATGTAAAAACAAGCATAAGGCTTTTAAAAGGCTCCTTCCATTTTTATAAGAGATGTAAGCGTCAAATCTCAGATTTAACTGAGTCTGAAAAAGAGTGAGGAGGAAGAGACGGCCAAGTTTCCAGAGTTTTAAATTACATGCCGCCCAAGTCAATTCTGACTTAGGGTGACTTCTTCCAGAGTTTGCTAGGTCTAGAACACTCAGAAAGGCTGGCTGGATGGCTTCAATGAGTTATGGATCCGGCCAGGGAGCCAGAGGTTGAAAGTTCAGTTTCACAGGGTGCATTCCAGAAGAGCCAGCCTGTGTGGCCTTGGGCAAGCTCCACCCTAGAGACAAAATGCCTCTAGAAGACAAGGGTGGCAAAATACTTTTGACTCCCGTCTATCTAGAAAACCCTGAAAAAGGTTGCCATAAATCAGAATTGACTTAAGATGGTGCATAAATATTTAAGAGTACTCAGAAGTGTTTTTCCCATTCCCTTCTTCTGGGGATCCCCTGAGACTGTTGCCCAAGGCCACCCAGGCTGGCTCTTCTCCTAGGAGGTCCTTCGGAAAGCCAGATTCCACGTCTCTGGCTCAAGACCCAAGTGCCTAACTCAACAGCCTTCCAAAATTTATCCGAATGTGTTATAGATATAAAACTGACTCTACACAAGGTCGTAAACCAAAGGGCCCCCAAAATAGCTCTGAAGATGCATAGAGAGAGCCAGCCTCTGATGCCTGAGTCTGCCGACACGGAGTTCACCCCAAGTCTTGAAAAATCACACTGTATGCCATGAATAACCCCAAAGTCCTATCCATTGAAAAATATCCATCTTGGAAAGAAAGCAAAAAACGTACCGCAAGGGAGTTTTAAAATATGTGAGTTCAAAAGCATCGAGCCTCGTCAGGAATGTTTGTTCTGCTCCCTCCTTTGCCTGCAAAGACAAACAGGAACAACAAGAAAGAACCAGGTCAAAACCTCTCCATTGGAACAGGGTCACCATCCACATCACATTTCATAAGAACCTTATGAATATAAGTAAACATGCAGCCAAAGAGGGAACTTTGTTGTTGTTTAGTCATTAAGTCACGTCTGACTCTTTGTGACCTCATGGACCAGAGCACGCCAGGCTTTCCACTGACTCCTGGAGTTGGGTCAAAGTCATGTTGGTCGCTTCGATGACACTGTCCATCCATCTCGTCCTCTGTCGTCCCCTTCTCCTCTTGCCGTCACACTTTCCCCACATCAGGGTCTTTTCCAGGGAGATTTCTCTTCTCATGAGATGGCCAAAGGATTAGAGCCTCAGCTTCAGGATCTGTCCTTCCAGGGAGCACTCGGGGTTGATTTCCTTTAGAATTGATAGGTTTGTTGTCCTTGCAGTCCAGGGGACTCTCAAGAGCCTCCTCTAGCACCACTATTCAAAAGCATCAATTCTTCGGCGATCAGCCTTCTTTACGGTCCAGCTCCAGAGAGTGAACTACATGTAGTTAAAATCATACATTTTTTTTAAACAAGCCGACTAAATGAAGGTGACTTAAGCAGATTCTTTTCCTAGGGCCCACAGACCGAGGTCAAGGGGCTGGGGCCTGGCTCCCGCACCTGAAAGCATCGCAACTGGAGGAGACCTCAATAAACCTCAAGAATCCATATCCAAGTATAACATGGAATGATGGCTAAAAGGTCAGACATGGAGAGGGAGAAATGGGAGAGGAAGCCTTAGAAGGCAACTTGGTTCAAATATCTGTCGGGAAGAAGATGGTTCACCATCAAAAAGTATTTTTCCAGGGTACCTTGAGGCCTTTGCCCTGATGCGCTTCCATGGCCTCCCCCCTTCGGTTCCTTCCAAAGTCACGTGCCCTAGCAGTGCCTCAAACATCCATGAATTGCAAGAACAAATGAGAAAAATGTGAGTTAAGGCAAGGTGAAGGGGCAAGTTCCCAGGCTAAACGAGAAGGACCCGGAGCCCTTGGTTTCAGAATCGATCTTCCTTGCAAACAATTATTATAAGCCTAGAGGGCAAACAGAAAACCCTTTCCTTTCTTGCCAGGCTAGTATGATTTGGCACTGGTGCAATCAATGTCTCTCTTGCAACAAGGAATGTTAGTACCTTGGTGATACTGGATGTTTTTGAGTAGGCGTCTATACCAGCCAGGACGGCCTCTACGACAGCAGCATAGATTTGAGACAGCAGCTTCCTAGAAAATAAAACAAACAAGCTAACTATTAATTATCACGATTAATGGGCATTTTAACCAAGAATTAATTTTAAATTAAACATAACCCTTTGCGTGCCAGTGTGTATTCCTGATGGACCATAATAGGTCAAAAAGACATTAAAACATGAGTCCCACAGTGGTAGAATTTGGATCCTGGTTATGTTTGGAAAGGAATTCAGAAGCTCAGCAGGGTCACACATGGAAGTGAGGAGCATCCACACTATAAATGTGGGCCAAGTCCATCCGATCAAAAGAACTCCCTCTCCCACCGATGCCTTCATTCATGCATTGCAAAACAAAGACACGAGTGGAAACAGGCACTCACTGTTAATTGTATTAATTGGACTTGACAAAGCACTTTGCAACAGACACTGACGGGATTAGCAGAAAAAAATTAAGAAAGCAACTTACACTTGTTTGGCTTTCTTTTCCACCTCGTTATCATTGCCTGCTATGAGGATGAAGAGTTTTGTTACTTTTATATTCCACCACCTTGACAGATTATTCCATACATGCATCAGCTATTACTCTGTTTCCCCGAAAATAAGACCTAACCTGCAAATAGTATGATTTTTCTGGATGCTCATAATATTAGCCCTGCCCCAAAAATAAGCCCCACTTAAGTGAAACCCCGCCCGCCACCCTTGTGCAGCAACCAGAAGAAGAGGACTTGACTGTATTGGAATAAATGTAGATGGTTGTACATGGAAAAAATAAAACACCCCCTGAAAATAAGCCCTAATGCATTTTTTGGAGCAAAAATTAATATAAGACCCTGTCTTATTTTCGGGGAAACATGGTACTGTACTCTGTATTATTCATAAGACCAGGCTATCCATATTTTGTTTAGAGGACACTGAATTTCTTCTCTCCTCCTCTCTTTCTTCCAAGGGTCATGCATGCCACAGATCACTGGCATGGGGAACAGGCAAAAGCATGGGGGGTTTGGGGGTGGTCCCCGACTCTCCCCAATTTGTTCCTTTGGTCTTGCACCTGCCCCTCTCCCCTACTTCCAAGCCTATCATGACAAAAGACTGGGACGGAAAAGCAAACCTAGTCCTCTGCTGACCATCACAGCGAACCATCGTGAGTGAGGTCAGGAGGAGGATGGATGGGGGCAAGGCACGTGCCCCTTGAAAGGCGCTTTACCACACCAACAAAAATTTAGATTCGACCCAAACGCATTGGATGTGAAAGAGATTCAGAAAGGGTTCAAGGAGGACCCTGTAGGTTTTGAAGGACCTAACTGAGAAGGCTGGCATAGCCGAGACCTTGAGAGCTTCGAGTTCTCCTGGCTTATTTTTACCCAATTTTTTACTTCACCGTGCATGTTCTTTCTTTCATCTTGCAAGCCCTAGCGAGGAAATAAGGCAGGAGCGCAGATGAAGCACACCTCAAGGCAGGATGGCAGAACACTTACCCAGGTAAGGAGTGTGCGTGGCTCCGAAGAAATACGTCCTCGAGCATGCCAGGGGTCCCTTCGGAGAGACGCACTGCACGACCTAAGTGACAGCAAACACAAAATAGGTAAGTGGAATCCGAACTCCTGCTCCCACTTAGCCATCCCTGATCCCAAAAGAATCTGGCTGCACATCCACCCTCCCGCCCCCCTGCCCCCATGGAATGCACAGCTTAACTGTGGGCTTCCCAGAAGCCTGTGGTTGTGGGAAGACAAGACGGAGCCACCCTGATCTCTTCAAAAGATGGTGGCTTGGCTCCCTGTATCATAGGACCCCGATGGAAGGAAGTGCTCTGCTTTCTGGTTCTGTCTTTCAGCGACAGGACTAAGGGGGAACAAAAGCCGGAAGCAGGATCCCCCTTCCATCGGTGGTCTCTGTTACCCGGAACGGCAGGCCCCGTTGCAAGCAGACTTCACAAACAATCCAAGGAGTTTGCTGTCCTCTGAAGATGCCGGCCATGGAACGGCAGGCCCCGTGCCAAGCAGACTTCACAAACAACCCAAGGAGTTGTCGGTGAGGCAACGAAGCCGTGTAGCAACCAAGAGAAATACTCCAAGGTCAAGCTGTTGTTCTGTGCCATCCTGTCATTTCTGACTGAGGGTGGCCTTGCCAACTAGCAGTCTCCCTAAATGTCCGATTGTTAGCGGCCCTGCTCAGGTTCTGCAAAAGGCTGTCGTGGCTTCCTTTATTGGGTCGAACCACCTCATGTTTTAGTCTTCCTCTTTTCCCGCCACCTTCCTCTTTTCCCAGCACTGCTGTCTTTTCCTGTAAAGTTTGTTGTCTCATGATATGCCCCAAATACACCAGCCTTGATTTAGTCATTGCTAAAAACCCTGCTCAGATTCTGCTGCTCAGAGCAGCAACATGTCTTACATTCCAAGAACTGGAGACACCCCCACCCCACAGCAGGAAAACTGTTCCTGTCTCCTTTTGTGGGTAAAAAATGTAGAGGACAATGAGAGTACAAACACTACAGCTTCAACAATGAGGACTGTGAAGAGGGAAGCATGTCCCTTGTGGTGCGCCTACAGTAAGGCCCCTCTTCATTGGAAACCTCTACGCTCATAGTACTTATGACCTCATTGCTCCTGCCATGCACTCGTATTATAATAGTAGACGATGGTCATGTGCTCTGAATGGACGACTTGGAATAGCATCTAGTGTGGCTGAAAAGGCCAATTCGAGAGTGACAACCCCTTCCACAATGAAGACAAATTTGGCTGCTTTCAGGACCACCTCTTTGCCTCAGCCTGCTGAACAAGGGTCTCTTCAAATTGGGAGAGGCCGTGATGCAATGCCTGCCTCCAGGCTGAACGCTGAGATGTCAGGGTTTCCCATCTGTTGAGGTCCATTTCTAAGGCCTTCAGATCCCGTTTGCAGATCTCCTTGTATTGCAGCTGTGGTCTCCCTCTGGGGTGATTTCCCTGCACTCATTCTCCATACAGGAGATCTTTTGGAATCCGACCATCAGCCATTCTCACGACATGCCTAAGCCAACATAGACGTCACTGTTTCAGTAAAGTATACATGCTAAAAATTCCAGCTCATTCTAGGACTACTCTACAGTGGTGCCTCGCATAGCGAGGTTAATCCGTTCCGGATTAACCTTCGCTATAGCGAAACATAGCTGAACAGGACAGGGAAAGCCACTGGAACGCATTAAACATCGTTTAATGCGTTCCAAAAGGCTCCTTTACTCACCGTTCAGCGAGGTTTCCTATGGCCGGCAGCCATTTTCGCGCCCTCGTTAAGCGAGGGGAGGGCACGAAAACGCTGCGCACGGCCATTTTGAAGCTTCCGGCGGCCATTTTATCCGCCAAACAGCTGATCGTCGGAGCTTCGTTTTGCGAAGATCGGTAAGCGAAACGCTTACCGATCTTCGCAAAGCGAAATTCTCCCTATCTGAAGCTCGTTGAGCGATCACATTAGCGATGTGAAAAAACGGATCGCTATGCGATTTCATCGTTATACGGTGCGCTCGTTAAGCGAGGCACCACTGTATTTGGGACTTTGTCCTGCCAGGTGATGCCAAAAATGTGTCAGAGACAACGCATTATAATGGTATTTAAACAACTGCTTCGCCATACTGTAGCTGGTCAGTACTTACCATGTGCTTGGCAGTGCTCCCACCGAGACCTGTGTTGCGAAGGAGATGTCCTTCAGAGGGGAAGTTGAAGTTGCCAGAGTTCAGGTTCTCCTTGGACGCATGAGTCCCAAACAACACAAAGGGCTGCCTGCTCGGGCTGATCCCCCCCCCCCAAAAAAAAACACACACACAGTTACCACTTGTCAAAAACTTGGGAGACAGTTCTCTGTAAAAGGTGAATGAGCAATTTCTTAAAAACAGCTACATTAGCTCTACGCTGCATTGCAGCATTAAAGAAGGGGAATCGATAAATACTTCATGATCTCGTGTTCCCGTTATTGCCAGCACCAAAATATTATAGGCACAGCGAAAGAAATGTTTAAAAGCCAAGAAATTGCAAGGCTCAGCAAGCACTAAACACAGGTTTTAAAAGATCAAAGATAAACCCAAGCAACATCCATTTCTAAGATTTATTCAACGTATGTATAATTAATGCCATTTGCTCAGTTTGTTCAGAATTTCATGATCACCTCTTAACTGGTTTTGAGGGAGGTTTAAAACATGAAGCACACAGATCAGAAATAAGGGGGTGGCCGTTTAATTATGCAGGCTCCGCACTGCACGCACGCACACACACCAAGGGAGCTGGGTACTCCTATCACCAACCTCAGGAGGAGGAAAAGCTAAGTGAACCTTGAGCTGGCTACCTGGCATTGAACCTGGGCTGTGAGCAGAGTTTTGGCCACAGTACTGCAGTTTAACCACTGTGCCACTAGGCTCTTAAGAAGTTTAGGATAACAAAAAATAAAAACAATGATACAGTGGTGCCTCGCATAACGAGCGCACCGTTTAATGACGAATCCGCATAGCGACGCGTTTTTTGCAATCGCTAATGCGATCGCATTGCGATGGTTAGAAAACAGCTGATCGCGATTCCAAAATGGCCACCGGATCAGCAAAATGGCCGCTCACAGCGTTTCCGCGCCCTGCCCTCGCTTACTGGGCAGCGAAAATGGCGGCCGGATGGGGGAATCATCACTTACCAGTCAGTTTTCCCCCCATAGGAACGCATTAAATGGAGTTTAATGTGTTCCTATGGGGTCCCCCCCCGCATAGCGACAAATCCGGATAGCGACGTTAATCCTGGAACAGATTAACATCGCTATGCGGGGCACCACTGCATTATAATGCTTTCATAGACATCTAAGGTGTGATAAAATGTGGAATCCTGAGTGCAGATCTAATCAACGCAGCCTCCTTAGGGTGAGAAGGTAAAGGTAAAGGTTCCCCTTGACATTTAGTCTAGTCGTGTCCGACTCTAGGGGGCAGTGCTCATCCCTGTCTCCAAGCCATAGAGCCAGTGTCTGTCGGAAGATAGTTTCCGTGGTCACGTGGCCAGCACGACTAGACATGGAACGCCGTTACCTTCCCACCGTGGTGGTACCTATTTATCTACTTGCATGTTTATATGCTTTCGAACTGCTAGGTTGGCAGGAGCTGGAACATGCGACGGGCGCTCACTCCGTTGCGTGGATTCAATCTCACTGACATTGTTAAAATGAACTAGGGTAACCCCACATGCTTAAGGGATTGGAACCGCTCAGTGGAGATGTTGGAAGTCAACTGCCTCCTGGAGTCCCACTTATTCAACAGCCCTACTCTCGTACAACTTTACTATACTAAACAACAGGATTATAGCCGTTACATCATCTCCAGTATAGGAGGTGAAAATGCCTCTAAGCCAAAGGGTGCCCGTAGGTTCCCATCATGTTCTAAATTGGGACATGACGAAACAATAACTTCCCATGATTGCCTGAATGCACCCTGCACAAAAAGAATGCTGGATGAAGCCGATCCAACAGAATGATTCTTATGTCCGGCAAGAAAAACAAAACTCCAGCATCATCTAGAATAACTGCTTTGGTTTTAGCCCTTGCTGGAACTAGAATGAAGCAGTCAGTAGCTTAAAGAAATTCACATTCATTGGATTTTAGCGCATCAGCGTTATCATTAAAGGCCCACAGTTTTTAGTAATTGCCTGCTCTTTGGATTTTTTTTTTTAAAACAAGCTGTGTTTCATGCCCAATTTTATACTGCACTGGCTCAGGGCTCTTTAAAAGGAAGAATACCTGTTGTCTGTTATATGGCTGGAGATCATCCCATGACTAAAGTAACTTCGAAAGGGCTAGGGAGGAAAAAAAAGAGAGTATTAAAAAGGCTTAGTAACTACTAAAAATAAATAAAAGATCAAAGATAAACCCAACAGACATCAAAAAGGTGTTGGAGATAGGATCAAAGATTATGCATACAATATACAACTTCTCTGACAATTACCCTTCCCCTTTTGTTATTTATTTATTGAATTTATAACCCGCCCATTTAGTCAACTGGCTACTCTGGGCAGCTACAACAGCTTACTAAATTTAAAGTGCCAAAGTACGGTGGCAATCCATTATACATATACTGTACGTGAGTGTTAAAACTGATGGATTACATTTTCGCTGTCCATCTCAGGAATAACCACTGAAACAACTGTATATAAAATGCCATTTTATTATTTTATTTTGTATTTGTTTGAAACATTTTTAACCCTGCCTTTCTGCTCCAAAAGGCCTGAAGTGGCTTACATCCTTAAAAGACAATATTTGAGCTAAAAACAGTAAGTATACAAATACTAAAAAGGACCAAACAAATACCACACTAAAAAAGGGTAAAGACAAAACAAAGCATTTTCCTGGGGAACCTTTGGAAAAGGATTTATTTGACAACCACATCAGCGCCAGCCACAACCAAGGTCAACGATTTGAGGGCTTGCAATGTCATACACATCTGGAGGGCATTGGGTTGTGTCCCCGTGACACACAAAATAATGGGAGGGGGAACCCCTTCTTTAGTTGTGTGCAAGTGTGGTGTGTGTATCCAACTTCTGCAAAAGCAGTAATCATCATTTATATTCTAGATGATACACTACTGGTCTAAAAAAGAACAACTAATATTTCCTTACCCAGTCACCTGTTTTTTTTTTAATTTTTAATTTACAAAAAACAGGGTGGGGGGAAAGCACAGTGCAGCCTGCCAGTCAGACAGGTGCAGCTCTCTGGGTGTCCAAATGCAACCCCAAGCCAGAAGACACCCCACCCCCGTCCTTTCCCCCCTCATTTATTTTCATGCAATTGCTGGAAAGCACAGAGATAACGGTGTCATTTTGCACTGCCCCAAGCTGTTTTCTGGCCAATTATATCATTTCTTCCACTACAGAAAAAGCCATCTGGAGCAGGACACGAGCAATCGATAAAACAAGGACGTAATTAGCTAACAACAATGAGAGTAAATGGAGGGGGGGGGATTTCCCCGCCCCAGTTAAAACAAAATGACAAAAAGCATTTTTGAGGGTGGGGGTGTGCAAATGCCTAGGTGGCTTTTCAAGGTCCAGCGGTAGACATCTATAGCCCCTGAACCTCTGGGAGTTGCCCACTTTTGCCACAAGTGAATGGCCCCACGGCCACCTAGAAGCATGCCTTAAAGCCAGTCCGATGCTCCAAAATGCCAAACATCTCAAAACCTCTGAGAGTCTTCTGAACAGTTGCTCCCCTCCCATGAATGACCTCCGTTCCCAAGTCCTACAGACTGACTTCTGCCTTGGGTCTGGAATCTTATCCACCTGTGACCAACCAGGAATATCTCTCTGTCCATTGACACCGGGGATAGGTGGGCGGAGGGAGGACACTCCCAAGGCGCTGGAACCAGTGTGTTTCGATACAGATGGGTCCTTCTGTTTTCCTGAATGTGAAGTGACTTCTACAATTCAGCGAAGGGCAAGATAGAAACTGGGTCATTTCCCAGAGTCCCACGCGCCAGAAGCTCCGCTCTGCATGCTGATGAGGTGCACAGTGAGCCAGAAGTCGGCAATGGAAAAGCAAATTTCCCTTTCATGTAAAAAAATAAGTCACATACCTCCCCCGCTTGAGACTCTGACAGCTCCAGGATGAAAGGAATTTCAGTGTCAAAATTGGCAAAGAAGTTGGTCCACTGATGTTCAAAAGTCATCAGATTCTGGAAGAAAGAGACACATCTTTCATCAATCTCGATTTTTTAAGAGGCCGTGTTTGTTCCTGTCAATGCTATATACAACACCGAGAAAAAGTTAACCTTGAAGAAGTAAGATCACGCTCTTACTAAACTGAAAAGTTTAAGATGCACAGTTCAACTTCTGGAAATCTGAACAACAATATAAAGAAAGGTGGAATAGTTTTAAAAGCTGAAACTGCAGAGGAATATTCTTTACAAATGGGTCTACCTCTCCCCTCTCATTTAAAGACAAAAAAACTAACCCTGTTGTTCTGCTTTTTGCAAACTGAAGAAGTAGCTCATAACAAAAAAGGAGGGGAAAGACAGTTGAAAAACACACATATAGCAATGGAACAATAAATACACATTTCAACTCTCAACAATTAGAGAAAAAATGCAATATCATAGAATCATACAATGAAGTTGGAAGGGGCCTCTAAGACTATTGAGTCCAACCCCCTGCTCAGTGCAGGAATCCAGTTCAAAGCAGATCGGACAGAGGGTGGTCCAAGTTTCTTTTGGTGACTCTAGCATTGGAGCACTCAACAGCTGTCAAGGTAAAGGGTTCCGCTGTTGTTGCTCTAACAGTTAGGAACGTTTTCCTGCTATTCAACCAAAATCTCGCTTCCTGTATGTAGCTTGAGCCCATTTTTGCCTGTCCTGCACTCTGAGATGATCGAGAACAGGCAGAAAACAAAAGAACAATGGCTTCCAGTAAAACTAAATGATTGGGCACAAAAAGGCCATTTGAAAAGCCACGTCTTAAATGAGCATCAGAAGCACCAGAGTGTTTTTCTGGGATACCCCCAAGCTTCAGTCAAAGAGGAAAACACACAGCAAAGTCGTAGTGCACTTTCTTCCAGAAG